ATGAAGGCCGAACATGATAGTGGGACAAGAGAAAAATAAAGGAAATAGAGGAAAGAACTAGGAGGCAAAGGGCATTTACAGAGTTCTGTTTTAAAACTGAGTAGGAATCAGTCATACATTTTTAAAATGTAATTTTTTATACAATGATTTTTTAATCCTCTTAACAGTTGAGCCCTCAGTATAAAATCTATATATATTTTATGTATATTCATGTGTACTTACTCCAATTTGGAAAGCAAAGGAGAAATAGCTCATTAAGAGTAACTTTTAGAAATAGGAGTCTGAGCCATTCTGAAGCCAAATTTATAACCTTTAGTTATAATTTGCTTTGAAAACTCTAGGTTTATGTGATTGAACTATGGAATGGTGTGGTGTCTGGATTACCTAATGAAGTGGTTTTTTGGGGAAAAATCTCTAGGTTTAGTTATCTTTTTCTTTCTTTCTGTCTTTTCAGTATAGAAGCTATTGATACAATTGCTGACCTTGCTCCCTTCAACAATTAATATTCAAAAAAGTTGGCCAAAGACATATTCATTAAACAGGATGACTCAAATAATAGACAGTGTGCATAGCTTATGAAAGAAAATCCCCCAAATTGAAAATAAACTCTGCATTTAGAGAATAGACAGCATCTCTGAACCAATGTTTTCATTAACTTACCTTGAGTATTCTTTATTCATAGTCATATTTTTCCATAGATATCTCCACTGCAAAATAGAAATTATTATTTCTTCCAATCCTGAAGATTTCTTTATATAGCACTAAAATCCTCAAAGTAGCATGAATCAAACTATTGTTAATCATGCATCCTTGGAAAGGTACAGGTGAACATGACGATGATATAGCTCCATTTCTGTCTTTGCCTCTCTGTGTCTGTCTGTCTGTCTGTCTCTCTCTTTCTCTCTCTCTCTCTATATATATATAGATAGATAGATAGATAGATAGATAGATAGATACACACACATATATATTCCATTCTATAGCTATAGATGTAAATATGCACACAGACATATATATTCCATTGCAATTACTTTTATCTATCCAAAATTCAGAAAACTTGAATTCTATCCCTAGACCCTGAAATACCCCTACTATTTTGCTTATTCTTCTATGATTGTATATTTGACATGGTAGTAAGTATATTTATGTTGCTTTTGAAAGAAAAAAATCCTACTTATACAACACCAGAAGCTACATAAAAATCCATTCAAGCCGATTTTCAGCAAAGGTCTAAACTAGTATATAAGATCACATTGTAATCACATTCTTTCTTTGTAGGAGTAAAGCATATACATTCTGTGGAGGAGGCAATCATGGTTATAACAACGAGTTTAAGAGCATGGAGGTGAGTTACTTGCATTTTTTTTTGAACAAATGTTTGTTGACACCTATTTTGTGATCAATCCTGTCCAGGGCACTTGAATACCTCTGTTTAGAAGACAAAGCTTCTGAGTATTATAGGATTTTCATTCTGGCCGAGGATATAGGTACTGAGCACAATATATAAACACATATAAATCTATGGCATAGTGAGTTAGGTGATAGATGTCATGGTGAGAAGGGGAAAGGTGGGGATCAGGAGTGTTTCAGGGTAGCATGGGGACAGGACAGTATTTTAAAGAAGTTGTATTTTGAGAAAATCCCATTTGAGCAGAGCCTTAGAGAATATGAAGGAATTACTCTTGCAATATCCCAGGAGCCAATGCCTCAGAGGCAGAATTCACAGTCAGGACAAAAGGCCCGGGGTGAGGATGTGCCTAACAGGGAGGCCAATGTACTCTTGGGTGCAGCTGATTTGCAGGTAGTGGGCAGAGGTCTGGGAAGACCTTGTATTTACCTGGATATATTAAGTTTCAAATAACTTTGAGACTGGTTTTAATTGGCCATTACTGAGAAAGTCTGTCCTGAGAATTAAAATCATTGAATTTTAGACCTCATTAATGATTTAAAGATCAGCGACTAGATAAGATCTCTGGGGATTGAAACTTGATCAAGAAAAGGACTAGGCAATGAGCCCTGAAGCAAAAAATTTACTCCTAAAAAATATAACGCCTAGCTGTAGCCACTGATAAGGGCGGAATGTGTGGTATCATGGGAAGAATGTGTATGGAGGTGCCCACTGTCATATGCCACTGGCTAGTCCTCTGTAGGTTGATTCATTATTTTTTCAAACTAATTGTCTCACCTAAATCTCTAGATAACCCAACCAAACAAATTTACTGCCATCTAGTCGATTCTGACTCATAGGACAGGGTAGAATTGCCTCTCTGAGTTTCTGAGACTGTCACTGTTTATGGGAGTAAAAATCCCCGTTTTTCTCCTGAGGAGGGACTGGTAGTTTCAAACTAATGGCCTTGCAGTTAGCAGCCCAATTCATAACCACTATGCCACCAGAATCCTAATCTCTAGATAAGACAGCATTTTCTATTAAGTAGGGCACCATGAGTTTATGAGAATTGAGTTAATTATTGCAAGAAAAATCCATGCTTCAAATTCTTTCCTGTTTATCTTGGGAGAAAAAAAATGCATGTCACTGTTTGCTTTTTAACTTTTTAATCACGATTTTAGGGAATGTTTACAGAGCAAATCCATTTTCCATTCAGCAATGCGCATACATTTTGCTTCATTATATTAATTGTGATCCCCACAAAGCAACAACACTCCTCCCACTTCCTCCATGAGTTTCCTGTTTCTTTTTGTGTGTGTGGTCCTTGGAATTTTTTTAAATCATTTTATTGGGGCTCATACAACTCTTCTCACAATCCACACACACATCGATTGTGTAAAGCACGTTGGTACAAATGAGTTCCTGTTTCTATTCATTCTGCTTTCCTCTCTGTCTTCTGAACTTGGCCTGCGATCAAAGGCTGCCCCTTTGATCTCCTAGGATGGGTTGTTTTAAGGAGTAGGCACCTCCCTGCTGTTACTGGTCACTTTAGAGGCCTAGTGTTGAAAGGTTTGTGGGGTGGGGATTCAGTTCCAGGGCTGAAGGGGGACAAAGGGCCATAGTCTCAGGGTCCCACCACTGTCCACCTGGAAGACCAGGTTTCACCTGGGAGCCTGGTCTTACCATGTGGTGTTTAGTTTTGTTCCACATTTTTCTCCCATTCTGCAGGACCTTCTCTCGTGATCCCTTTCAGAGGGGTTGGTAGTAATATCTCGGGGGCATCGAGGCTTGGGGGCTCAATAGTCCTTTGAACTAATGATTTCCATGAGTTTAATTTCCATCACTGTTCTCTGCTGCTGGGGATGGGGGGCATGGGGCATGGTGTGGAGACGAGAAAACCAATTGTTGCACCTCTGATACCCTCTCACGTGTTTTGAAGACCCGAGTGATTTCTTAAAGCTATATGTTTTGCCAATTTACCTCAATGTCCCCCAAGATGTCCTAAGCCCCCTGGCTCAGCAGCGTACTCTCTCAAGGTGTTTGGTTAGGATTAAGAAGTTTTGGGGAGGGTAGGGAAAGGAGAGTAAAAAGAGGAGCTGATACCAAGGGTTCAAATAGAAAGAAAATGTTTTGAAAATGATGTTGGAAACATTTGTACAAATGTGCTTGATGCAATTGGTTTATGATAAGAGCCCCCAATAAAAGTATTTATAAAAATAATAATAAAATAAAAAGAAGTTTTCATAACTTTGCAACCTGTGTGCCCTAGCATATTCATGGATATATTTGCAGAACAGATAAGCAAATACGTATGTGGAAACATCCTCCGTCAGACCTATCTACATGCATGCGTGCACTTCTAGTCCCTTTCCACACTCATCTTGCATATCCCTATGTAGCCCCATGGAAATTGCTAGTGCTATTATTATTGTTGTTACTATTATTGCAGAGAAAGGAACCTTGGTGGTATTAGACTGCTGAGGACACAGTGGGCAGATCAAACCCACCTGCCAAACCTGGGGAGAAAGTTGAGGCTATCAACTCCTGTAAATATTTGCAGTCGTGGAAACCCCATCTGGGTTTGCTATGAGTCAGAATCGGCTTGCGGCACTGGCTTTTGGCTTCTGCAAAATAGTATTTGTGATAGTATTTGCCTCTGTTGCCTTTCACTCTTAAGCACTTCCCAGTGTGCTCCTTTGCCATCACCCATTTGTGCTAACCATCCCCTTACGGTATTTCACCTTCCACCTTCCCAAGTTCATATGCATTTCCCTCTAGTGAGTGATTTGCCTCACCTTCCCTTACCACTCCTGCTAAGTTTCAAAGAATGTTTCCTTTGGTGTAAAAATTTTTCTTGAATTTTCACATAGTGCATTCACATAGCACTTGTCATCTTATGACTGACTAATGTCATTCAGCATAATGTCCTCCAGGCCCGTCCATGCCACCAGGTGCTTCTCAGACCTGTGGGCATTCTTTCATGGTGGTGCAGTTTTCCATGTGCATATGGACCGCGACCCGTTGTCCGGTCATCTGTTGATGGGCACTCCTGTTGTTTCCATTATTTCATTACTGTGAACAGTGCTGCAGTGAGCATGGGTGTGCATCCATCTATTTGTGACACAGCTCTGACTATATACACCACTGTTAAAAGAAAGGAATTGCTTATGGAGATTTGACACTTTTCTTCTGGTTATTTATCATCTAAAGAATTAAATGTGTTGTAAATAATCCACTTGGTTAGTGTTAATGAAATATACAGCAAAATATTTAGGTTTCTTTTTCCTGAAAGTAAAGGGGAGACACATTTTAGAAACTAGTGGCTTAGGAAGTGGGGCAAACATTTAGTGCTTAGAAACTTTAATGCTTTTGTTACATATTTACCTTTTTGAACAGTCATAGGCAAGGAGTATGGAAAGAAATGTCATCTCATGTTAAATTTCCAGGATGGATTGTCCAAACATTATGAAATCATGCTGCTACCAATTGTCCACTGTTGTGCTCTCTTATCCTGTTGAGCTGTGAGATGCTCTAGAAGCAGGTAGACAGAGAAGAAGTCAGTATGACAATACGGACTCCTTAGGCCTGGGGTTCGTGCATGACTACAGAAGAGATGATTCAGAAGTCATTTTCAAATCGCCAAAAACATTTTGTACAGAGACCTACATTACAAATAGAAGGGCTAAGATATAAAATGTGTGTTTGGCTGGTACCTTTAAAAAGTATATCTGTTATGGTCTAGGCTATCTTCCTGGCACACGGGCCGGGTTTTAAAGAGAAGACTGAAGTGGAACCATTTGAAAATATTGAAATCTATAACCTACTGTGCGGTGAGTCTGTCTGTTTAAACACAGCAGTTCATGATGGCTATAGGTTTAACAATATGTGTTTTGGAATTGGTGATCAATGAAACCCCAGAGACAGGACCCTGTGTATTAAGAAGAAAAGGTAGTAAGATGAGGAAGAATTATCTGACAGCTTTCAGTAACTGATAAACATTAGCTCTCAGGAAACCAAGCTTTTCAATGCACAAGCTACTACATGCTAATGTGAGGAGTCCTGCTGCCTGAGCGGAGGGCTGCTAAGTGCAAAGCCAAGAGTACAGACCCAGCAGCTGCTCTGCAGGAGAAAGAGGAGCCAGCAAGCTGCAATTCCACCAGGAGTTTTGATAGAAATCTGTTTCAATAGTCTCTTTTAATCTCACCACTGGCTTTAATTAAGAAATGTCAAAATAGCAATTTTACAGTACCCTAATGCAGCCTTCATAACGTAATTTTTGGGTTTCAGGGCTGGGTTGGTGGTCCAGGCTGCTGGCTCTCAGAGAGAATGATTAGAAGGGAATAGACAGGATTTCTGGTCTATAGAAATCTATTTGGTGGGTCTTGGGAAGAGCCACTTCAAAGACGATGTTTGCAAAATGTTTGTAGTTTAATATTTTGCAAAGTATCTGTGTCATTAAAGCATTTTAAATAACTAACATGCAATAGGTAAGATTGTTAATCATTTTGTTTCTTTAAGCTTCCCTCCCTCCCCCCTCCCCCCACTAAGAACATAGCCTTTCGCACTGGAAAGTTAGGATACATGTGTTTAAGGGACAAAGTGAATGATCCTTCTCTTTGGTGGAACAGAAACTGGCCCTTCCTCAGTGGAAACTCTGGGAAAAGAAAGTCAGTAAACGAAGTGGCACATGCAGTATGCAGTGACATTCAAAGGGAATTGATTAAAGGAAATAAAAGAGCCAGTGTGTGCTTTCTCCTCCTGCTGCTTTCTCACGTCAAACTGATCTAAACTTATTTTTAACTCAGATCTCCTCCGCATTCACCCGGCACCAAACAATGGTTCCCACGGCAGTTTAAACCACCTTCTAAAGGAACCTTTTTATCAACCATCTCATCCAGAGGAAGTGTCAAAGTCTTCTGTTTGTGGCTTCACTGATCCATTGCCCACAGATTCTTTAAATTGCGTATGTGCTGAGCTACAAGACGTAAGTAATAACTTCATGCATCTATCAGAATGTAAAGGGGCAAGCTAGTCTATAACTGAGGTGGTCGATATCCAGGGGAGCTGGCATACATTCTGTGTCCTGTCTCAGATAATGTGTTGGTCTGGGTTGACTAGACCAACTCACATGTGTGTAAGAAAGAGTTTTATATCCAAGACTAATTGTATATTAAGAAAACATCCCAATCCCAGTCCATATCAAATCCATTAAGTTTGATATTAGCCCTTAGGTCCGATATTAGTCCATGAATTCCTCTTCAGACTCATGTAGCACATGCAATGATGTCGAATGCAGGAAGATCACAGGGTGGTGGGTGGAAAGTCCTGTGGGTCCAGTGGCAGTGGAAGTATCTCCAGGGCTCTCTCTGGCTGCCATCAGCGTGGCTCCATGTGGCTTGTCAACAGGAATGTGTAATAGAGAGAGAGTGTGGCCTGCCTCCAGGAAAGGAGAAGGAGGTCCCAGAATCCTCATGAGAAAGTCATGCCCACAAGGAGGGACCATCACGCTGTGATCTGATTGACAGGCTAGACTCCACCCCTTCATTCTTTTATCAAGTTGGCATAAAATTATGTAACTGCCACAGAGAGTGTTTACTAAGTATGTGAAGTCTTTGAACCTTATCTGTGAATGAGAGATTATAAGGCATACAAGATTCAGTATGAATATGTGCTTTTTTTAAATATGGGAAGCAATATTTTCCAATCCATAGTAGTATGATGAAGTAACAAACTGTTGAAATAAACAGTAGAAACTTGCATCTATCTTTAATTTCCTTCATAGGCCATTCCTCTATGATTTAAGAATCAGATGGCCGAGGGTGGTTGTTAGAACAGAATAAGCATCTCAGACAAGAGGGATCTGACATTGAGCTCACCCCCAGGTGTAGCTTGGAGTCCGGGTGGTGTAGTAGTTACAAGTTGGGCTGCTAACTGCAAGGATGGCAGTTGGAAACTACCAGCTGCTCTGAGAGAAAAGGCAGGACTTTCTACTCATAAAAACGTCCAGTCTTGGAAACTCACAGGGGCAGTTCTACCCTGTCCTATAGGCTTGCTCTGAGTCAGCACTAACTTGACAGCAATGAATTTTTATTGAGGTAGATACTGCGGTGTCAACTAAGAGGAAATGCCCACAGGAAAGCGTGGCCTTCACAAGAGGTCTGGCCTTATTCCAGATAAGCTCAGACAGGGAGTTGATAGGGAGAATCCCTCAGTGGGAACACTTGGAAGCAGGCCAACAGACAGTTGGCATCAGGAAGGTCATTGTAGAGGAACAGGCACCAGACTCAGGAGCAAGAGAGGTCAACAAGGTGAGATTCTAGTTTGGGGGAGGCCCTAAACTTAGAGAATCAAAGCATGAGAACCAAGCTCACTCATGAGAAGCTGCACATGGATGCAGATAAAATTTCAGAATGAAATTGGAGCTCAGGTTTCCGGGATCCATCAAACTAAGACAAATGCCAAGGTAGATCTTATGCCAAATTCAAAATCTGATTGTTAACATAAATACATGATTCCTGCCTCAGATAAGCAGTATTTCTTACAGCCAAGAGTGAGCAAAGATGTTATATTCGCTAATCCTCAAAATAACATCATAGAGCAGGTGTTTCACTGCCTGTGTATAGATTAGAAAGGCTCAGAGATGTTAGGTGCGTTGCCCAGTGTCAAAGAGACTTGATCCAGATTCCAACTCCACATTCTTTGACTATCCCTTGCTACTCAGAATCGAACTGCCGATCCTATGTCACTTGTAAGCTTGTGAGCGATATAGGAGCCCAGAACCTATCTCAGGATTTCTCATTCAAAACCTGCATTTTCACATGCCGCGCAAGTGACTTACACATTACGACTTGAGAAATGCTGAACGCGGCTATTCCAGCATTAGGACTTGACTCTGTTGCTGTTGGTATTAGGTGCCACTGAGGCATTTCTGACCTATAATGAACCTGTGCCCAACAGAACAGAACACTGCCCAGTCCTGGGCCAGCATCCCCACAATTGTCCCTGTGCTCCATCCCAGTGTTGCAGCCACTACGTCAATCCATCTCCTTGAGGGCCTTCCTCTTTTTTACTGTCCATCTACTTCACCAACCATGTGAGGGTCTGGTCTCTCCTGACCACATGTCCAAAGTATGTAAGACCAAGTCCCACCATCCTTGTCTCTCAGGAGCAATCTGGCCATTCGTTTCCAAGACAGATTGTAGCTGTGGTCAAAATGCTTTGTCCTGTTATCAATTATATCGCTATAAACCCACATAGAAAAAAATACAGAAAGTAGTAATATTTCAGGGTAATTGACAAAACTGGATTCAAAACTCAAGTCAGTGTGACCTCTTTGACCCTGGTAGCATAGTGATTATGCATTGGGCTGCTAATCACAAGGTCAACAGTTTGAACCCACCAGCTGCGCCATGAGAAAGACTTGGCTTTCTACTCCTGTAAAGAGTTACTATCTCTTCTGAAGCAAAACCAAAAGGAAAAAGAGAGGGCAAGGGAGGAGACCCCATACTGCCACACTGAGCCCTGATGATGACAGCCCTGCACGGAGCTGCATAGGCACAGAGGACTGTAGAGACATGATGTCCGCTCCCCGGAGCATACTGTGATAGAGGGCAATCCTGGGGACACATGGCCGGCAGTGAGTCTGGTCTGACCACCCCACAATGGGGTGAACCAAGAAGGGAACATAACAGATCAGCAATGGGAAGAAAGCCAAGCCACAAAACCTGAGGAGCTCCCCAAGTAGATGTCAGGCTAGGAGCGGCAATTCCCAGAAACCCCCAGGATCAGTGGAGAGATAGTTATAAAGATACATGGGACAGATTTGGAAATATGTATGCTTTTTTTGTTTTTTAAATTTTTTTCTAGGTTTTTTTTTCTTTCCTCAGTCTTTTGTACTCTTTTTGTTTTATCTCTGTTATTATTGATTTGCCTACCAATATAAGATAGGCATGGGAAGCAAGTCTGAGGAGAAAGCAATGGGACTGAAGGTTCCAGAGGCCCCTGGGGGGGAGGAGGTGGAGGAGGAAAGGAGCAGTGAACAGACAGCGCCATAGATGGGGGAACAACTTGGGAATTAAAATCAATAACGAGGAGGGAGTAGAGATCCCGGGGGTACTGAAGCAGCAGCAATCTAGCTGAGAGGAATTACTAAGAGGCAGAAGAAGGGAGAATGTGATGGTAGGGCAAGAGGAAGGTAAAAGGAAGCAGTGGAAAGATCTAGGAAGCAAAGCTATGGATAGATAATCCATAAAAATAAAGGTATTGGCCTATGTACATACATTTTTATGGTAACACATTGAGGAAGTGGACAGACTTTGGGTCTCTGCTTAAGCCCTCCCTCAGTTCAAGAACACTTTGTTCTAACAACCTGGCACTCTGTGATGCTCACCTTCCGGACACGCTCACTGAAGACAAAATGGGTGCATATGCAAATGTGGTGAAGAAAGTTGATGGTGCCTGGCTATCAAAATATATAGCATCTGGGGTCTTAAAGGCTTGAAGTTAAATAAGCAGCCATCTAGCTGAGAAGCAACAAGCCCACATAGAAAAAGCACCCCAGCCTGTGTGATCGGGAGGTGTTGATGGGATCAGGTAACAGGCACCAGAAGACCCAAAACAACAACCAAAAAGATATATTGTTGAGAATTAGATGAGGAGGGTCAGAACATTTACGCAAAATCCATCTGTAGACAATAGGACATCCCCTCACAGAAGAGTCACAAGGAAAGGATGAGTCAACCAGGGCACAGTATAGCACCGATGAAACACACAATATTCCTCTAGTTCTTTGAGGTTTCCTTATCCCTCACTATCATGATTCCAGTCCTGTCTTTCCATTCTAGCTAGAGAGGAGTGTGTATGCCGGTACAGATAAGAGCTCACAACACACGGAATCCAAGTCAGATACACCCCTTAGGAACAGAAATGGGAGTAGCGATACCAGGAAGGTAGGGGAAGGTGAGAGGAGAAGGGCAGAAAGGGGGAACCAATCATAATGATCGACTCATAACTCCCCCCCCCCACACACCAAGGGGGATGAACAACAGAAACACGGTTGAAGGGAAACAGCAGTTCGTGTAAGATATGAAAACAATAATAATTTTTAATTTGTCAAGGAGTCACGTGGGTGGGAGTGGGGGGAAGGAGGGAAAAAAGAGGAGCTGACACCAGGTGCTCAAATAGAAAGTAAATGTTTAGAAAATGATGAAGGCAACATATGTACAAATATCTTTGATACAATTGATGTATGGATTGTTATAAGAACTGTAAGAGACTCCAATAAAATGATTTTTAAAAAATAATAAAGAGTTACTGTCTCAGAAACCCACAGGGGCAGTTTTGCTCTGTCCCATGGAGTTGCTCTGAGTCCAAATGGACTCAATGGCAGAGAGTGTAAAATCCTTCCTATAATGCATGTAGAAACACCCTTAATCCCCCTTTAAAATGTGTGTGATTACTTCGACTTACTCCCTTCCCTTCCCGTTAACTCGCAGGAGAATGAACTAAGACGCATGAATCAAAGGCTGGATCTCAACGCAAGTGAAGGTAAGTCGATAGGAAGCATGGTAAGTCTCCTGGGCGACTCCGTCTTTCTTCTCACTGCCTCACGATTCCTGATTCCTTCCAGCTCCTCCTGAGCTGAGCAGCCCTGAACTAGTTTCCTGCCAGGACTGCTTCAAAACAAAACAAGACATTAACTGTCTGATTCTCAAAAACAAGCTTGCCAAGCCCTTTGAATAGAGAGTTTATTGCCAATACATAGAAAGGAAAAATCAGATCTAATAACAGGTGTGGCAAGCGTGGGGTAATTACGATTCCAAGAACTCAAAATCCTTGAAATGGCCATGTCTCACCTGCAGCCACCTATCCCTTTTCTTAGATGGGAATAGGCTTGACGGTGTCATCTGGGGAAAATGACTTAACCCCCGCGAGCCTCAGTCTCCTGCTTTATAATAACAGTAATACCTGGGCCAGGTAGATGTAAAGATTAGAGTTAATCCATGGAAAGAGTGTAGAACTTTTCCTGGCCTATAGCAATGTTATTATTACCTGTTGTCTTTTAAATGAAGAGTCCTGATGGCACCGTAGTTAAAGCACCTGGCTGCCAAACTAAAGGTCTGCTGTTCGAGCCCACCAGCCTATCTCCGGGAGAAAAATGCGGCAGCCCGCTTCCCTGAAGATTGATGGAAACCTATGGGCAGTTCTACTCTACCCGGGTGGTTGCTGTGAGTCAGAAGTGATTTCATAGCACTGGCTTTTGTTTGTTTGTTTTTCAAAGTATCCACCAGTCTCTATCCAACCAGTAAGCCTGATTGATGTCTTTTGTATAATTTTGAGTTTTGCTCTATATTTATCTCTCGCTCAATCCAGATCCTGCTAATGTGGTCCCTTGCAAAGGGGTCAGTCATGGGAGGAGACACCATCTAGATCTGGTCTCGAGGTCTTGGGGATGGAGCTCTGAGTGGGCCTTCAGTCCACAGGCTGAACTGTTTCCCCTGTCTTTGATTCTGTTCACGCTTCTTTGCGCTGGACGGCGAGAGGCCAGGCTGGTTGCCCTTCAGATGGCTGTTCATGGGAGCTTTGAAGACTCCTGTTGCTACTCACAAGGGTACAATATAGAGCATTGTCTTGGTGCTCGACCTTGGTGCCTGTTGGGATTATGGCCCCAAACCTCCAGGCCCAGTGCCTCAGGGTTCCCTGAGTGTTTACTTATGGCTAAGAAGCGTTCATAATTTCATTCCATTATGCTCTTCTTTATAATTGCAGCATAGATAAACACATTCGTAGAAATATCCACTGTCAAACTTCTATATGTATATAGATTCTCTGCCTACATCTATTCAGCTTTCGGGTCTGTGTCTATCAATACATACACTTGTAGATTATTGCTATTACTGTGATGTAAGGTTTGTATGTATATTTTCTTTTGTTGTCTTAAGCTTGTGTAATCCTCTCAGTGTTTTTGCCTTCATTTTTTGCTAGCCTCCATCTCATGGTATACTGCCTTCCCCTTCATTGATTGTACTATGTGCCTACCCTCCAGTTACTCATTTTCTCTCCCTTCCCCTCCTACCCCTGGTAGCCATCAAAGAATATTTGTGTGTGTGTGTATGTGTGTGTGTGTGTGTGTGTGTGAAAGCTTTTACTTCCCCCTTTGTAATAATGGTTTCATATAATATTTATCTTTTGTAATTGATTTAATTCAACAGCATGATTACCTCTAGGTTCATTTATGTTCGGAGGCATCTCACAGATTCATTGTTGTTCTTTATCATTGCATGGTAACACTGCACAGTGGTTAATTGTGTCTATGGACCCCAGTTCATTTATCCGTCCTTTTATTGGTGGGTGTATTTCAGTTGTTTCCATCTTTTGGCTATTATGATAGTGCTGCAATGCACATGAGTATGCATATATCTATTTGTTCCTAGCTCTTCTTTCTCTAGGATATACACCCAGTAGAGGGATTACTGGGCCATGTGGTTTTTCTTTTTCCAACTTCTTAAGGAAGTTATTCACTGTTATACACAGTGGTAGCACTATTTTACAGCCCCACAAGCAGTGTAGAAGGATTGCTGGAATGGCTTCTATTCTTGACGAGAGTCTTTCTTTGGGAAGTTCCCGTATCTACTTCTCCCTTCCCACTGGCTCTCAATTTCCTCCCTGCGACTTCTCTACTGTCAGTCCCTGGGTAACAAAAGCCAAAAGGTGGTAGGACACTCAGAGTGACCCCAGAAGAATCTACTTGGGGCCACCATGATTCCAGGTACCCTTATAGTAGAGGGATCTGCCATTCTCCCATTAGCATACAATGACCAATTGAATTAGTATTTTTCAGAAGGCCAAGGGTTTATCACTTTCTGTCCCCACCTTCCCCCCCCCCCCACCCTCATGGCATGGCTGCGACCATTATTGTTCCTGGGGGGTTTATCTGTCCTGTACTCTGTGTGATCAGAGCTCTTATCTGTACCAGTGTACATGCTCTGGTCTAGCCGGATTTGTAAGGTAGAACTGGGGTCATGATAGTACGGGGAGAGGAAGCATTAAAGGTAAAGAGGAATGTATGTTTGATCAGTGCTATACTGCACCCTGACTGGCTTGTCCCTTCCTTGTGACTTTTCTGTGAGGAGATGTCCAATTGTCTACAGATGAGCTTTGGGTTTCCGCTCAACCCCACCTTGTTCACATGGATATGATTGTTTGTTTGGGGTCTCCTTATGCTTGATACTTGATCCTGTCAACGCCTCATGATCACACAGGCTGGAGTGCTCCTTCCATGTGGGCTTTGTTGCTTTCCAGCTAGATGGCCACTTGTTTATCTTCAAGCCTTTAAGACCCTAGGCGCTATATCTTTTGATAGCTGGGCACCATCAGCTTTCTTCACTATATTTGCTTATGCACCCATTTTGTCTTTAGTGAGTGTGTCAGAGGGTGAGTATCACTGAATGCCAGGTTATTACAACAAGTGTTCTTGCACTGAGGGAGTATGTGAGTAGAGGCTCAATGTCTGTCTGCTACCTTAATATTTAACATATAAATATATGTACATAGATTTTGTCCATATCATTGTATTTAAATATATTTACATATGTACGTGCCTGTATTTATATCCCTATAAATGTCCTTTGCCTCCTAGTTCTTTCCTCTATTTCCTTCTATTTTCCCCCTGTCCCACTATCATGTTCGACCTTCATTTGCCTCTCAGTAATTCCTCTTGGCTTCATTGCACTTGATCAAATCTGAGTCAATTCTGTTTTAAAAGAATATTTTGAATTAAGATTCTAGGTAATGTTTTCTAAAGTGGGGTGGGGGTAGGGATGATCCAGGTGTGGCACTAATAACAGACACCAGTAATTCCTCCAGGATTGTGGGCTATAGCACAGAAGTTTTCATTGCCCAGAAGACATTGAGTAAAAAAAATTTTGAAAAAGGGGCAGTAGGCCAAATAAATTTGGGAGCATTTTATTTAGAGAGATTTTATGAGTCTAACTAATTAGAAAAATATGTCTAAATGCTGTAAGTAGTTTTTAGAGAAGTCACATGAGAGATGTAGAAAAAAAAGACAACTGTCCAACTGAAAAACACACCATCATTCATTTCACTCTGCTCTCCTGATAGATTTGGGCAAGCAACTTAGTCCTCTTGAGTCTCTGATATATTTTATGTAAACTGAGAATAATCAATTAACTCAGAATGCGGGGGAGGATCAATTATGGTAATGTATGTACAGGGCTTTGTAACTTTAAACAGATTATGTACACTTAGGCAAAGGTAGAATAAAGCACACATCACCAAGAAAAACAAAAGTGAATGTTTAGTATATATTGTTGTTGTTAGTTGAGTTAGGTTAGACTTTGAAACCTAGCAGTCCTATGTGTAACAGCAGGAAACACTGCTTGGTCATTTGCCATCAACATTTATGTTAGGTTTGAGCTGATGGTTACAGCCACCATGTCAAACTATTAATAACACAGATAGGAAAATATAACTCAGCATAGTTACTGAATCTTACACAAAACCATCAAAACTAAACTCATTAATGTCAAGTTGAATTCTGACTCCTTGCACCCACATCCGATGGAGTCAAGTGCTGCCCAGGGTTGGCAAGACAGGCAGTCTTTGCAGGAGTTGACTGCCAGGTTTTTCTCCCGTGGAGCAGCTGGTGTATTAGCACTGGCAACTCTGGGGCCAGCATCCAAGCAATTGATCATTGTATCACTAGGGCTTCTCTCTCAGTGAGCACTTCTCAAATTTTAACATGCATCTTCATCATCTGGGGACTCTCTCTCTCTCTCTCTCTCACACACACACACACACACACACACACACACACACACAAAACAGCGTATAGTCTGTTTCTGTAGGTCGGAGGTGAGGTTAGAGAACACATATTTCCACAGGTGCCGTTTGCTGTGAGGGCTTCTAGACCCTTGACTTCACTTAAGGTAGCAAAGCACCAGCACAGGGCTTGCAAACTCTGGCCCTGAGGCAACCCTGGCCTGTTGCCTACTTTCAGAGAGCCCATGAACTAGAAAGGGGGTTTTCCTTTCACAATGGCTGAGAAGAAGCAAAATTAGACTATCTTGTGGCATGTGAAAATTATATAAGTTTCCAGTTTCATTGTCCATAAATACGGCATTATTTACTCTTTGTTTAGTTATTGTCTACGGCCATTCTGCACTACAACAGCACAGGGGTGCCGCCACAGGGACTGCATGGCCCACAAAGTTTAAGAGAGTGATGATCTTGCCAATTACACAAAAAGATTGCAAGCCTCCCCTTTAAAAAGATATCTGGGAAGGAGCTACACAACACTGTTTTTACAATGCCCCACCTGGTTTAATTTGTTTTCCTTGTAAATTATTCCCTCAATTACATGCATTTTCATTATATAAAAAAAGAAGAAAGATATGGAATAAGCAAAGTGCCTGTGTTCTTACAGGCCGCTTCCTGTGTCTTCACATAGTGTATGGACAAGAGGAATGTGCAAACTTGGTTGTAAAGGAGAGATAAACACAACATGTGACATTCACTGGGCCACATGTTATGAGGACTCCTTCCCATCAGCTCATGTGGGTTTGCAGGAGAGGCGTGGCATTGAAAGCAGAGGTTCACCTTCAGCCTTCACCGCTTTCTAGTTGTATGGAGCTTATTGTGTCATTTGTAAAATAGGGATGCCCACTTTTTAGAATTCAGGAGAAACATGTGGTTTCTACTCCTGTGAAGAGTTAACATCTCAGAAACCCACAGGGGCAGTTTTCTATAGGGTTGCTATGAGTCAGAATCAACTGCATGGCATTGAGTTGAGTTTTACTATAGAGAATTGCTTTGCAGATTAAATTAATGTATATGTGCATGCATTTAGAATAGTTCCTGGCACACAGTAAGATTTTCTCAAAATTTTGTGAGTTATAATATTCTGTTCTGAGTTTTATTCCATGGCAAAAATAGTTTGTGGTTTTTATTAATCAAAGTGTAATTGATGAATTCTTATTTTATAATAGCACCAAACCAAACCAAACTTATTGCCATCGAGTTTGTTTTTGACTCAAATAACCCTACAGGACTAGATAGACCTGCCCCTGTGGGTTTCTAAGACTGTAACTCTTTTAGGAATAGAAAGTCTCCTCTTTCTCTCTCAGAGCAGCTGGTGGTTTCAGACCAACGCAAGTCCACTACACCACCAGGGCTCTCTCAAACCACCCCCCAATCACTGCCATTGGGTCGACTCTGACTCGGAGAGAGCATGGGGGGCAGGGCAGGACTCCCCTGTGAGTTTTTGAGACTGCAATTATCTACGGGAATGGACAGCCCCAGCTAGTGGTGTTGAAACTGATGACTGTGCCCTTAGCAGCCCAACACATAAGCACTATGTCATCGGGGCTAGGTTGTGCTTATTTAAATAAAATCCCAATGTATTTCCTATGATAATTATTGAAATAGGTCCTATTTGAGTCTGTATCTTTCTAAAATGTCCTTGGAGCTCTGAAAACAAATGGCAGAGAAAGCAGGCTTGACATTCTTGCTCGGTGTCTTACTCGATGACAAGATGCTAAGACTTTCTAAGTCTCAGTGTTTCATAATCTCTACCTACTGCCATCAGATTGATTCTCACTCATAGGAACCCGATACAGAGTTTCCAGGCCATGAATCTTTATGGGAGCAGATAGCTTCATCTTTCTCTCATTTAACTCCTGGTGGGTTTGAACCACTGACCTTGTGGTTAGCAGCCAAATGTTTGTTTGTTTTTCAGACGGTGCCACCAGGAATGGAATAATGACACCCATCTCATAGTATTGTTACAAGAATAAAAATAGATTATGTAAAATATTTATCAGAGTACTTGACACATAATAAGCCCTTAAGTAGCCGTAGTTATTGTACTCAGAGAAGCATTTGCTGATTTTACATATTTTTGTTGTTGTTGTTATTTCATTTTAGTAACAGCAACACAGAAAGAAAATATGCCATTTGGGAGGCCCAGGGTGATGCAGAAGGACAAGGACCACTGCCTCCTGTACCACAGAGAGTATGTCAGTGGCTTTGGGAAAGCCTTCAGGATGCCCATGTGGAGTTCATATACCGTCCCTAAGCCGGTAAGTTTCTGCGCCCATTGTTCCAGCCAGGCTGAGGAAAACACTTAGAAATGCCTGAATAGTGTAGGCATTCTTGGATGGTTTAAAGAGTGGGCAAGCTCAGCTGCTAACACAGAGCTTGGAGGTGTGGGTCCATCCAGCGGTGCTTCAGAAGAAAGTCCTGGCAAATGACTATTTAAAATGACATTGGAAACCCTGGAGAACCCAGTTCTACTCCCATAGACATAGGTCATCATGAGCTGGAGTCCACTGGTCACCAACTGGTTGCATATTCTAAGAGTGGAACCTTCATTTGCGATGGAGACCCCAAAGAGAGCCCGCCAGCCAGTGACTTGTAAGGTAATGTAGCAGATATAACCTAGAGGCGCTTGGGAGGTGCAAAATAGTAAAACAGCACATTTTGAAATTAGGTAGTGTTTACAGGCCAACGGGCCGATTGGTGAGATTAGCTGATAGAAAAAGCAACATTTCAAACAGAAGCTAACGGGAGAACAAAGGTGCGCACTTCTCTTGTTATTCTCCAAATGTATTACGGAGGCACATGGAAGGTGACAGTTACTGGATTAGAAGTATTAGAACTTTGCTTTGTTTGATTTTTTAGTTCCTTTAACAAATCTTTTACTCCCTGCTGCATGTTAACAAGGTCCAACCCTTCCCTGAAAGAGCTGGCATGTAGGTGTACAGGTGTGTTCTGTGACTGATCGCTCCAAATTGAGGTCAGGAATTCACTTGTTCAAATCCTGGTCTCTTTTCACTCTCTAGTTAAATGCTTTTTCAATAAATGTCACTGGAACAGTTGGCCAAACCTCAGGGAGGGCAGGGGTTGGGTTGAAATCGACTCACTACTTCATGCCGTAGAGAGTTCCTAGGTGGTACAAATGGTTGACCGCTGACTAAAAAGTTGCTGGTTTGAGTTGCAATAACGGTGCTTCAAAAGTAAGGATTGGTGATTTTACTTCCCTAAATTCCCCATTGAAACCCCTATGGAGGGAGCACACTGTATTCTAACACACATGGACTCACCATGTGTCTGAATCAACTTGATGGCAGCTGGTGCCTGTCCTGCACAAAATTAAATTGCTACTGGATTTAGAGACCTCAATTGAATAGCAAGTCCACATATTCCTTTGTGCAGGTCTCTGTGTCACTGGAGTCAAGGAGGATTTCTAAAAACACAAGATGAAAAAAACAGGAAATTGAATAATTTGGTTACATAAATATTAGTGTGTGATGAAAAGTCAAAGATGTGATGTGAAACATAGCTGGTTGCATTTCATAGAAGAAATCAGTAATGAAGTATCCACAATAATCATTAAGATCCCAAGTAGTGAATAAATATTATATATGAATAAACAAGAGAATGTTAAGCATCTTGGGTGCTTGGGGAGAAAACTGTATTGGCTATCAGGGACATATAAATTACAGCAAAAATCAAAAGCCTGCCAAAGTTCAATTTGAGCATTCTTTCAAGGCCAAACAAATAGAAAAAAATATGCCCATCAAGTTGATTCAAGTGGATTCCAATTCATAGGGAGCCTCTGTAGGGTTTCTGAGGTTGTAAGTCTTTTAAGGGAACAGACACCCTCATCTTTCTCCCACAGAGTGGCTGACAGGTTTGAACCACCGATCTCTCGATTAACAGTCTAAAGCACATCGGACAGCACCCCAGGGCTACCTCATTCTAGGGCAGGCATGGTTTATTTATTGTTTAGTCCATGTTTATTGAATGACTGCATTGCTTGAATCCATCACCCTCTTATTATTATTTTTTCATCTAGAGACAAAGATTTTCTTCTGAGCAGACTGGTAAATAAATTAGAAAGTGGTTTTTGTGGAGATCATCGCAGCTTTTTAGGTTCAGAGACTGTAACGAAAGGAATCTCTAGCTTTGTGTTCTTATGAAGGATACAGATATTCTCCTATGTTTGTAGACAGGAAGTATGGACTTGGCTATATCCGGTTTGTCTACTCTTCTTGTTCCAATTCAAGATTTTTTTTAGAAAAATAAGCATATTGTCCCACTATTAATTAAAGCTTTGTGTGTTCTGAAAGCCAAACTCTGCAGCTGAAAGCAGTTCAATTGTGGTTGCTGGTAGCACAGTGTGAGCTTTGTTGATATCCCAAGGTGGTAAATATGTTAGTTGCCTGAGTTCATCTGTGTGGCTGGTGGTTCCAAAGTGTTCGTGATTTCAGCACGTCACATTTCTTAAAACAATTCCGATGCTGTTAATGGTTTTGTTTTTCTTGGAGGGGGTGCGTGACATCTCAAAAAGGTCAGTCTTATTCCTCATTCGGTCCTCGGTGTGAAAACAGATCCGTTACAGGGGATGGTGTGGCCTTGAAGGGAACGTCTGTTTGTGTTTTCAGTACTTTCCCTGGAGTCTTGCATTCCTGACTTGGTATGAGCTTTGGTGGAAACCAAAGGCCGGGCGATTTCAAGCGGGCTAAGAAACAGCCTGAGCGTTTGGTACAATTCTTTTTTGTTATTGTTCTAAAACTAGCTTCTTTGTTACCAAATGTTCTTGTCCTTTCACTGATCCCACAGAACCCCTTGTATTTTCTCCCGCTTTGTGACAGGGTGGAATTCTAGCAATTTTCTGCTTTCTAATTCAGAAATTACTCTGTTAGTATGTTGTGGTGCACGAAAATTACATACAAGGATGTTTTGAGATTCACATAAAATCGTTGTAAATTGGTTCTGTGTTTGAGAAATCAGACTTTAAATGAGCGCTTTGGGGCACATGGGCCCAAGTGGCCTACACCTCTAAGTTTAATGGAGCTTTTGTTTTTCTGTGGTTTGGTGGGTTTTCTAATTTTTGTTGTTTTTGTTATCTCAAAAGAGTTGTGGGGAAGCAGCTGTAATTTGAAATCACACTCTTAAACAACTGCTTCAAAAGTCATTAAGGTTGATCAGGCTGGATATGTGGCTTTGTTCTGGCCCTGCTCAGTAGGAAGATGTCAAATGATTTTTCCCCCTAATGCTAGGTGAAAAGTTGAATATAAAATCTGCAACAATGGACGAAGCATAGGAAGAATTATAATTTCAAATGCATAATTAAATGGAAATAGTACTAAGGGAAATATTAGTATAATTCTTAATCATATGATTTACTACTATTAAGCACACTGGCAGCATTTTCTTCTATTGTGCGTAGGGCCTCTATGGGTTAGAACCCACTGAGTGGCACCAAGAACAACAACATGGTGGAGACTTATTCCCACTTTAATCCTGTCTGTTAGCATAGTAGAAAGCTCCTTCCAAAATGGGATTATAGCAACAGGCATAGAGGCCTGCTTTTATAATACATCACATAGACGATGATGTTTAGATCTCCCTGCCCAATCTTAGTGTAATATATACTTTTATTGTGCCAACCTGGCCAATCGTAACATGTGGGATTAATAAGGTCACAGTTTGATTGGAGGGCAAAGAGACAAATGGCTCGGCAAGCTCCTTGTCTCCCTTTCTTGCTCTTTGGTGATCAGACCAGCCTGGGGCCAACACTTCTCTGCCTCAACCTGTGAGCTATACTACCCATGGGACTGCCAACCTGTGGATCCTGGCGCTAAAGCTTGACATTCCTTGGAGACCTGCTTCCCCGTGCTGCTGATGTATTTATCACTTGAGATTGGGACTGTCGGAACTTGTCATCTGGCTGACTGCTGGTGATCCACCTGCTGTTTGCTGTCTGTGGCCAGACTGCCTGCATTGCACTGGGGAAGACGCAGCTGTCTGCTTCCTTGACCTTGGACCTAGTGTCCCTTATGAGTTGAAGGACTTCCAGAATATTAACTGTTCCACGGAAGTGAGTTGAACTGAGCCCTCTGTACTACTGTGTGGGTTAATTAGCTATTACATTCCTTCATGGTGTATATCTATCTGTCTATCTATCTATCTATCTATCTATCTATCTATCTATCTATCTATCTATCATCTATCATCATAAGTGTCCTGGTTTTGTTTCTCTAGAGAACTCTTTCCTGTCTTTATAATTCACTTACTCAAAATAATTGTAAAGGCTAGGGAGTTCAGGACATCTCTGAGCACCTAAATTCTATTGTTTTTCTGACTTTTAATTTCTTGATTTCAAAAAAATCCAAGGAATCTTAAAAAGATGCCAGTACTGAAGTGTGTATGGGAGTTGTTCACTATTATCTATTTCTGAGACCAAGACTCAGAAATGACTTGGTCTTTTCTTCTTTCCATCTTTCTAGAAAACCATTGCATAATGTCACTTTCCCAAAGAGACTATATCCTGCCTTTGCCCATATTGATGCACTTCCATAGATAGTTCACATTTGGAATGTAAGAAATACATCACAGGAGGTTAGAGAGTAGGAAGAATATACCATTTGCTTTGTGCTTTTGGGGAAAGATATCAGGATCCATTTCTCCCAGCTGCACATCTGCCTCATACAGAAAGTAATAAACACCTTTGCTCAACTAAATTGTGTGATCATAGCTCCTATCGTTAATTACTTCAATGAGACTACATGTTTTAGTATTGAAATCATGTTTCAATTAAAGAGATTATAATAATGTATCAATATTTCCCTTGACACGAATACCATTGCATTATGCATTTAAATTTACAATAAGTGCTTGTATTCTTATCGTTCTAACTGTTGGAACAGAGGCATTTCATTCTCTTTCCTTTGTGGAAATTATGTCGATAGCAACTTTTATGTGTTATATATGCTTTAAGAAACTAGAGCTTTAGAGGAACGTGATAACCACATTCTGGATGTTTATGGGGCTGACTCGGTCAGCAACCAATATCCTCGTTCTCAATTGTAAAACAACGTTATGGGCACTCTCAAACGAAATGGAGAAAACTGGTCAAGCATAACTGTTTACTGTGATATGTTTTTAAAAACTATAAAGAAATGTTTTAGCTTCCCAGGCTCTGCCTTCAGAAGGAGGGTTAAATGATTGGTGAATGAAATCGTCTCAATAAAGCATGAAAGATCTTTGTGGGCCTTGATCTACTTCTTGTTTTCATGAACTCTGCCGCCCAAGAGTTTACTGAGCAAAGGATAAGGGAAAGTGCCTCTTTTGTTCTTTGGAGACTCAAAACACTTCATTGATATCAACCTGTAAACTTAATTGATAATTTGATTGACTTTTTAGAGAATTTTGGAAGAGATTTTCCCTTCAAAATTGTTAGGATGTTAGATTTTATGGACGGATACCGTAATGTCCCTGTTCTTCTTTGTAGAAACAACAAACTACCTTTACCATTTTTTTAAAAAAGAAAAACTGTTTAATTGACAGAATTCAATGTACCATACAATTCAATGGATTGAACATATTGATATAGTTGAATATGTGCAGTCATCAACACACTCAATTTTAGAGCACTTTCTTCATGTTTATGCTAGTTGTTATTCGCTCCCCAAGTCCCCCAACTGCCCTTTCCAGAACACTAAGAAAATATTATCCTAGTTACTATCTCTTCTGGTTTACCTCTCTTGGATTTCGTATGAAGAAAATCATACAAAAATATTCCCCAACCACAATAACAAAATAAAACATAGAAAAACTTCAACCTAAATAAAACCAGAAAATAATAAAAAGTAGAACAAATTAAAAATGAGTCCAAAGGGAAAACAAATGATATGATGTTAGCATTTAGCCTAGTCATAGCTACATTAATTCACTTTCTGATGTCATCTGTCTAAGGCCAAGGCTATTCACATCTGTGCATCTTAAAATCTTATTCTAAAACAAGCAGCCATCTAAGTGAGGGCCAGCCAAGTCCACACAGAAGAAATGCACCAGCCTGTGTGGTCCAAAGTTTGTAAATAATAAAATCCAAGCTCAGAGGAGGGAATTTTATTTATTTATTTTTTATTTTTTACAAAATTATTTTATTGGGGGCTCATACAACTCTTAGGGATTTTATTGGAGCTTAAATTCTAAGCACCTGGTTTGCAGAACGCTGTGAATGGAACCCCATAATCCATTTGCAGAGCCCCCATGTGGATTGTTTCCATTAAATTCTCTAGCTCTGTCTTTGGTTCCACTTTGTGAAAACTATCAGAAACTTCATCTTTTAGATCTTATAGCATGTTTTATTTCTATCATGTTTTCTAAATATCCATAGTTTTTCTGTTTCCTCCGTCCCTTTTTTATTGCTTTCTATTTCTTCTTCCTGGATGCCATATATACTCTCATGTCTCTGAAACAGGGGTTTTCGTCTGCTTCCTGTGTTATCTTTTTCTTTTCAGTTTTCTTCACATCCATCAAATGGCATGTGATCCTAGACTGAAGCACATGGTTGAGGCTTGCCAGCTGAAGGGTTTTACTACAGTGTAGTCAAGAAGGGACCCAGGCATTGTGTTAAGGTTCCCCACTGCCAGTATCTGTCATTTTGTGCATGAGTTGGCTTAAGTTTTTCAAAAAGGAGGGTTTTTCTAATCTGAGCCATTGTATGAAAGTGGCAACCCACACAAGACAACCAGCCTGGGGGAGTTTCCTTCATTCGGTATGGCGATTTTATTTTCTTTCACTGTTTGGAAGATGGCTCTCTTGCTCTCAGCTAGCCGTGCCTTGTGTTTTTCAGGCTGGCAGCCTCTCCAGAGAGTAAACCTTTGGCCCGGCTCCTTTTACAGGCTAACCTGTGCTCTTGTTCCCAGCCCTGTTCACATCCTCTGCCTTTAGAGACTCCACGTTCTAAGGCCTGACTGGGTTTCCACCCCAGCAAGTTGCTTCCTTATGCTTCCCCCAAGAGCAGGCTCTGAGCGCACTCACTGTCTGTGATTGGCTTTCCAGCTCTTGAACATTTTTTCTCCACTCTCTGGTATCTTTATCATGGCTGTCATTTCAGTGGGATTCCAAAAGAGAGTGAAAGTCAACGTGCTCCATCTACTGTTTTAACCAACAGATGTACAATGTTTTCCCAACAGACTGCTGCAGTACATGAAGGAGGCAGAACCTGTATTGTTTCTCTTAGAATCATCGTTTCTCCCCATTGCTCCCCATTCTGTACCACAGTTATACATAGGGTCACTCTGAGTTGGAACCCAGTCACCAGCACTGAACACCTACACCACAACTTGGTCCCTCCCTGCCTATCAATATCATATTCGGTGTGCAAGTGCCTTTTATTTTGTGAATTGATTTCGGACATTCTAGATACTGGAGGGATTTTGCTTTGAGTGTTAGACAGTGAATAGAGCAATCATTCCAATTTAACTTCGACTTCTTGTTTAAAAATGATTTCAAACATCCTCTGTGTGTAGTTAGAGGCCATGTAAATAAAAATATCTTTGGAAAAATCCAAATGCAAATCCAAATGCCCACTTACCCATGATGACACGCTAAATTGAAAGAGAATAATCATGAATTCTGCATGACTTTCAACACTTTGGTTAGGGAGCACACTTTTGTAGTATGATCCTGGTGAATAAGTGAGTTGCAAATAAGATTTTAGAACATGGATTAGGTATAGAAAAAAATGTATGTATAAAGTT